AAGTAAACAGCCAGAAATAGAACCAGAGCTTTCGGACAACACTAGTCCTTCCTCAGTGGCGAGTTTTATATATATATATATATATATATATAATACTAATAATAAGGAACTTGTAATTTCACTCTACAGGCTGTTTCATGCACTAGGCAATCTTCGGGAGTGAAGGGAATTTCAAATTTGAAGTGTATATGCATCGAGCACTATACGTTGCCTGAACTGACAACTTCATATTCATTAATATATATATTAATTTACTTTTAAAAAATGTTAATGTTTGATTATCTTCCTGTTTGATGTATTTTTATTTTTTTATGATGTATTTTTGATAAAAGTGGCAGTTCACCACAAGAGAAAACACAATCAATATTAATAACAATAATAATGCTAAAAACATCAACTATACAAACAATAGCAATAACAACAATGACTAGAGAAGAAAGGAATGACCATAACACAAGGTGAAGTGGGGAGGCGATGATTAAGTGAGGGCATGCTACACAGCAAAATAAGGTAAAATGAGGTGATTTGTTTTGCTTCAAAAATGTTCAATATGGGGGGAGGGGAGAACTTCTTTGGGGGATGAGGAAGAGATTGTTTTAATACAACTAGTTCCTTACCTGTCAATTCATTTACTTTTTTAGATATTGAGGTGATGTCATCTTCAACTTGTTTGATAGCCTTTGAGTATGGTCCAGCACCCTGAATAGGAACAAAATTAGATACATCATCTTTGATATTCTTAATATTGTATTTATTTTACTTGCTTAGTGTTTTGTTCCTGTTAAGAATACAGTAGAACTCATTTCTGAGAAAAAAAAAACAAAAAACAATATCTAGTTAGACCTACTGTACAGTAAATTAATTAAACAAAAATAACTAAGAAATAGTACAACTCAACATTTTCCACACTAAAAAATGAAAATAAAGCAAAAAAAAAAAATTAATAAAATATCTTTGTAGTGTACATCACTTGATTTTGTGAACAATGATCATTTTGCAGAAAATTATATCGTATTATTAAGACTATTTTTTAAGAATCAGAGAAATTACATAATACTATAGCCTACAGTAGGCACTACGTGTAGGCCTAGCCTAGATCCTAGCCTATAATTTTTTTATATTAATAAATACTCACATATGTTTTTAGAAGAGCAATATCACCTTCATCTAGAGCTGTGGGTGAAAAAATATTAATAATATATTAAGTCTGCAAAAAAAAAAAAATTATGTCTAAACCTAGTGGCAACCATTGTTGAAATACTACTATAAAAGTGTCCTAGGATACACCCTAGGCCTACTGTAACTGTTAGGCTGGTGACACTCTTTTTAATATTAAATAGATTGAGGGTCAGACCCTCTGTCAAGCTCGCTGTAGGATTGCTATATTTCTGACTCGAATTACAGACGATCGGGCCTAAGATGATCAGGCCTATTTTCAGGACGATCGGGCCCAATTTGAAAGTGGGCCTAATCATCCTGAAAATGGGCCTGACAGTCTGGAAATTGGCCCAATCGGTCTTGAGGGCCTGATCGTGGGTAGTCAAAATCGAATATTGTGTGCAATCGTCAATAGCCAACCTAGAGGTCAAACAAATGTGAAGAAGATTTAAGATTGCCTATCTTCATTCAGAAAAAAAATAAATAAATAAAAAATTAAATCCTCAATAAAATTTTATTTTTATTTCTCATCCTACTACTTCTACTTTTAGCATACCATTTTGATTTATACGATTTACGAATGCAAAATTTTATATTTTAACCCTTCTCTGAAGATGTTTAAAAAAAATTAAGTTCGACGGAGGTATAAAAATGTCTTGTCTTACTGATTAACATGGTAGGCCTATTCTATGTAATGTATTCCTAGTCTAGGTGAACGTCTAGGTATGGTATCAGAAAAAATGTGACCGATCGTCTCTAAAAAAAAGGCCTTGAGAAAATGGGCCTGATCGCCTAAGCTAAAACCTCCGTTGTTTTTTAAAGATTTTTGGGCCCTAGGCCTAGTCTGCAGTAGTTGGACCCGATCATCATGGATTAAGCTCGGTCGTCCACAATAGTTGGAACCGATCGTCTGAAAATGGGCCCAACCGTCCTGGGTCTGATTGTCTTGTGGACTCGATCGTCTGTCACCCTTCTGACTCAGCAAAACCACAAAGGGCCTAGGCATCAACCGTCCTCACTGTTTAATTACAAATTAGTTTACTACATAAATCTCACCTTGAATAGGTTTATCTTCTTTGTCATCCTCGTGTTTTACCTTACGCATATCATTGCCTAAATGATCCGGCATTTTGATAATATTCAACTATAACAACAATGCGCTAATAAAATTATCAAAATCTAAGCCTTGCCTTTCGTTATTTTACCCTCGTTTGAAGTTGTGTGATCTAAGAACCAACATTTTAGCCTCGTATCGTTTATTTTTATTTATGCGATATATTTTGATCATAAATTATCATTATACGAACATTTTAAGTACAAAACTTACAGAAAATAGAAAGTAAATATAACTAATTTTACTTCTTTGCGAAATAATATATATATTAATAGATTTTGTATTTATTTTTGTAGAATGTTTAAACAGAATGGTAAGCAGACGTGCTGTGGTCAGTGATAATCCATCTAAATCCAAAACAAAGTTTTATATTTTTTTTTAGAAGTTATGTTTGTATGTTAACGAACCCGCTTTATTTTTGTACTTATAATTGATGACCAAGTCAGTGTGCTTGTAATTGATTAATTTTGATCATATGCCTATCTGTATATAGTCTTAGTAAGTGTGTAAATTATTGACGATTTGCTAGGCCCTAGCTAGTAGGCCCGGCCCCTAGCCTCTAGGCCTAGCCAGCAGTAGTAGTAGTAGTAGTATGCTGCAGCTAGCACTGCACAGAGTGCATGGCAGGGAGCCTGCCGTAGAGCTTACCCTAAACGATAAGGCAAGCCTAGGGCCTCGCTATCTTTGCATCTAGCCTTCTAGTGTTTTAAACTTAAACTTAACTTAATTGAATTGTTAAGAAAAATACATTCTTGCTAATTTTCAATTTATAAGCCAGGAAACGTAATTCCTGCAATACTAGGCCTACTAAGCCTAGGCCTACTTTTTCAGATTTCTCAAGTTCTACACTACGGAAATTCTGCCTAATTACGGATGTTTACAGAAATAAATAAAGGCACTTCGGAAATTTATCTTTAGTCTAGACCCAGAAATATTAACACATTGTTGAAAGTCCAGGAAAATGATTTTTTCATCAGGACCATTGGCTACATTTACATTGTTTCTACGGACCCTAGACTTCAAACCTGCCAGATATTGATACTGATAAATTATTGTAAAACCCAAGAAAATTGCTCAATAAATCATCTACAGAATTTTTTCATTTGCTACGAAAACTAGAAGACATAGTTACGGGGATGCCAGTCAATTCGAGCGGATGTCAGTTCGAGCGGATGTCAGTTCGAGCGGATGCCAGTTCGAGCGGATGCCAGTTCGAGCGGATGCATTTAGTATGAACTTTAACAAGGGCGAATTTATCGTCGCAGTATTCTTGTATTTGTTTGTTTTAAATGCAAAATAATGCTCTGATGGTTCTGAAAGGTTTTTAGTACTTTTTGATAATTACTCCATGTTTGAATTACAGTCTTGGCAACTCCGACTACCAAGATGGCCGCTAACAAGTTAAAACTATAATAGAATTGCGTACTTTTCAGCTTAAAAAAGAAGAAAGTGTATGTTTTACTAGAGTGCACGAGAATCACACACACAAGATAAGTGACCATTATTTTTTTCACGGTAAACAAAGTGGGGTGGCTAGCCACCCTATTCACCACCCCTCCCCCCCTTCTCCAGATCCGCCACTGGTTGGGGTTCTGTATTTAAAAAAGTAAATTATATTGTAATTGAGTTATGCTACACACTTATCTATTCTGGAACTGTTGCGTGCCCCCTTTCCCTTTGAAAATGTCAAATTTTTAGCTCAAATTATATTTGTAATTGAGTTATGCTACTCACTTATCTATTCTGGAACTGTTGTGTGCCCCCTTCCCCTTTGAAAATGTCAAATTTTTAGCTCAAAAATAGGAAATTTTGAAGAAATTCGTATATAACTCGCACAGGTTGTTGTTCGCACAAGTGGATCTTCTTCTGCTCAAACTAGCATCCGCTTGAAAAAAATTCCGCTTGAATTGGCCTTCGTTTGAAGTGGCATCCGCTCGAATTGACTGGTTCCCAGTTACGGAAATGTATTTTATTTGAGGAAAGTCTGCTTTGTTTATGTATTCAGATTAGACCTACAGTAGGTCAAAGCCTAATTTACGACAAAATCTGCAGGGAAATCGGCCCTTATTTTTCGAAATGCACGGACAGATTTCTAGACCAAATTTTTATGCGGAGGATATAATTTCCTGCGCAAGCCTCACCATACAGTCTGGCTGCGGAATTTCCATAATTAGGCTTATTTGCTACGGAGGTTTTGCCTGATTATGGATGTACAGAAATACTGTAGATAAAAGTACTACAGAAATTTTTCTTAGGCCTAGTAGACCCATAAATACATGGGTCTAAATTCCAGAATAAATTACTTCTCTATCAGGATCTTTGGTTACATTGTCCCTAGACAATTCATACTTTTTAGATTACTATTGTGAAAACTAAGAAAAAGTGGCCCGTAAATCTTCATCGTGTCCCATTTGTTTGAAATTCCACATCAAAACAGTCGGGCCCATTTTCAGGACGATCGAGCCCAGGATGATCAGGCCCATTTTCAGGACGATCGGACCCCATTAAGGTGGGCCCAGTTGTCCTTAAAATGACCCATAAATCTTTATCCTGTCCAGTTTGTTTGAAAATTCCTCAATGTACCTGCAATTTTGAGAAACTTACATTTGAACTCAACGCAAATTATTAGGTGCTACGGAAATTTTTATTTACTAGGGAAATCTGAAGACATAGTTACTGAAATGCAGTCTTCTACTGTTCTAAATTTTAAAAAGTCTTGTTTTTGCTTTTTCAACCATAAATTATAGATTCAATTAATTATTTTACTACTGAAATCTGAAGACATAGTTACTGAAATGCAGTCTTTTACTGTTCTAAATTTTAGAAAGTCTTGTTGTTTTTGCTTTTTCAACCATAAATTATAGATTCAATTAATGATGAGTGGGAGCATTCTTCTTGATGGAGAAGATGAATTCTGTTTCCCAATACACCAAGATGATCTTAACCCCAATGGAACAAAAGAGAAAATGGATGTACAGCTACTGCCAGTAAAGGACTTTGTAAATGCTGACACATCCACAGATGTAAACCAAATGATAGACACAGAAACAAACCAAGAAAGAGACTCCCAAACAAACCCATGGCCAAATATGGAAACAAACCCAGATGCAGACAAAAAATTAAAGTCAGACATAGAAACAAACCAAGAGGCAGACACAAAATCAAATCCACAAACAAATACAGGATTAAACCTAGAGACAGGGGGAATACTGAACAATGGCAACCTTTTTATTTGTAACCTGTGCAGCAAAGAAC